TGTGACGACGATGCACTCTGCACATGAATATCGATTTCATTTCCACGGGGAATCACAAACTCGTGTCTTTCCGGTGAACAAGAGCAAAAGTTGATTCACCAAGTTCTGGGGGGGTTACGGGATATTACGTTGGGTATAGAAACCGAATTACGATCTCGCGGACTGACGAATTCTTACGGAAATTATTTTTCTGAGCGATCATGAGTTTCTGTGAGTCCCGATTTCCTCAGACTTCCAGTCCTTATCACAACGCGAATGTAATTAATGTTACATTAATATTTAAATCAACTGGAACTTACAAATTCATCAAGATCAATTAGAAAACGTCTTTTTGTTTCTATGAGCTCGAACGGCAATTTCGGGCCCAGATTGGCGAGCTATGATTATTATTATATTATTAAAATTATTATTATTATTCTCAGAAAATATTTTCAGCAAATGGCAGTGATAAGCCGAATAGCTTACGAAGCAGAGGTGAAATAACTTACATTTTCGTTTGGTCATCGTGTGTGCGTGTCTAAACCTGAGTTGTCCCCCTCTACAGCCCTCGAGGGTGCCCTACCGAGCATCCCCGTCCCAAGCATGAAAAGCCGAAGTAGCTTTTTGCCAGGAACAACCTCTCCATCTTCACCCTCTTATATTAAAGTCTCCCTCTCGTCCTCAAACTACCTAGAAAGGGCGATCCTGATGTTAGAATGCATCGTTACACTCTGGTCTAACTAGCTCCCGAATTTCACCGTTTTTACCCTCAAAATGATCGACTAACGAGCGCACGCACGCACCCCACACCCATTCATGATTTACCCATGTAAATACCATCAACCCATATGCTGAACAATTTCACTCGCACTGAATATTCACTGTGTATTTTTAACAGCAATAATATCAATGAGATTTGTCTCTCATGACTGACTGTCTCATTGCATACGAAACAGATTATTCAACCCCTCAAGTCAGACTTTTCACCGAATCAACGAGCGTATCCCGCGTCTACACGCACCAATGATCACTCGACAATAGTCAAAACATTTTGAACCGGCACATTTAAATCCCATAAATCACGGATAAGTGCGGAATTATTTTTCAACGAGGGACCAACAAACGATTCAATCCCTTCTCGCGATGCTTCAAAGAATTCACGATTATTAATGATTAATATTGATTCATTCTTTCAGATGATAAACGGATGGTTCTGGTGGAAGGTAGCGGCGAAGATGAGGGAAAATAAATCAGTTAAATCGGGGGCTGTCCAATTCGTTTACACATGTCGTAAGGGAGTTTTCCGGGTTTTGAGGGTCAGTCGATGGCGGCAACCCTAGCTGACCGGCTTATCATTAATTCATGTGAACGCAGATCCCGAGGATATAAAAATAATTTGGTTTATGGAAACAGACGGGACCGAAGACACCGAGAATAAAACATGAATTTTGTCTTCAGACGGTGAGAGAAATAAAATTCATCGTACCCGTTATGGCTATCTAATGAAGGACATTGAAACTGACCAACCTGTTGTTGAAGATATTTTTTTTCTCGATGTATCATGAAACCTGATGAATGGCTACCGTCGAATACCCATCTGCGTGGTCCTGGAAGATCCTCGGTATAATGTCGTGAAAAAATAGTGCACCCCTCGGGGGAACCATGGCCTCAGCACGCGCCCTTTTCACTGGGGGCAATACCCACATTATCATGATAATTGTGCACCGATGCGCTGATCAGCTGTATTGTCCTGCCAAATGCTTGGTGGTGAGCTGCAGACAATGGGCTTGTGAGGACCTGTACCTGTGGAAGGTGGCCGATGATGGAACGTCAGTCGGTAATGAGATTGGCATATTCATGACGTCCTTCCTCAGGGTTCTCGGAAAATTCCTGGATTGATCGACAGCCAGAATTTAATTCGATTTCATCGTTTTTCACTGAAAATTCGGTGGCTATTTTGTGACAGCTATAGGCACATGTTTGAAATCCTCGCGTGCTGGGGATGCTGTCCCCCCGTTGAGTATCACATATGTCGTGATACCCGGGGGTTGAGTGCTCCTGTGGATGGCTCTTCGTTTTAGAGTGGATATATCTGATCCAACAGATAATGTTACACGCGCAAGTGCGGTTCATTGTCAGTGCGCCTATTCAATTTAAAATTTGGACAGACGTGATCCTTCGTGAAAGCAGTGGAGAAAATTCTGCTATTTTTTTTTTCGTGAGAGAAAGCTGCGTTGGGGTGAGTGAAAATCTTGTGCCATCGATTTCTTCGGAAAATTCAAGATAATCCTTGCGCCTGAAATTTTTCGCTTGAATTTCCGTCTGCGATGAGTGACAGGTTCTCTCCCCAAACGTTTCACCAGCCTCTAGCATATGCGGAATAGCCCAAAGACATCAACATCAGTGCAAATAGAATGCCCGAATGGGAAATATTATCGTGGCAGTTGGTAATAGGCTTATCGAGTCTATTCCAACCGTAGACTAACAACATCGAGACCATACGAAATCCCCACACCCATTTGTAATTGGATTTCGGTTGCCCAGTGATGTTCATTTGACATCATTGGGGCATTTGCCAACCCTCCGACGTGATGATTGGATTAAGCCCGATATTTAAGGAGAGTTAAATGTCAACTTCGTATGTCGAGATGCTGGCGAAACGTTGGCGAAACACAATAGGACAGGACAATTTTCACCCTCAAGGTGTAATTCAACTTTTATCTTAAAAAATTTCCAATTACCACCAAAAATTCAAAAATTCATCATTTGCCGTAATTTTAGTTGCTCATCGAGACAGTGTAATATTTCAGAATTAAGATGTTAGTGATAAGAGACCAGTAATATTTCCTGGATATTTTTTTACGTGCAGATGAATCGTTGGTGTCTCAAACGGGCGCTGCCATAAGGCGGCAATGTTACAGGCCGTTGGGCAGCAGAAAGAGATCATGAATCACTCGTTGGGAGAAGAACTGGGGGATTGAAAATATCAAATGAGAAAGGCCGCATTGAAAATATCAAATGAGAAAGGCCGCATTGAAAATATCAAATGAGAGACAGGAGAGAAGTTCTATGAGAACCGGTTTGGCACGCGCTCATTCGAAATCAGCGTTAATGAGTCGTGCTGAGTGCTGTCAGTCAACTTATCCAGTGGTGTCACGTACCTTCAGTTTATAAAAAGTTATTCGATTATTTAGGTGGCGGGAAAAAATTTTTACCCGGTCAGGAGTAGACACTCGGTGATGACTATCCTATGCAAATTCATCTCGCGAGTGATCTTGAATTCTTAGAGATTAAACCGAGGGCCAAATTACCCGGCACAGAACGCATTATCCCAACTTGATAGACTTCCCTTCCTCGTTTCCACTCGAGATAATTTAACCTGCAAGTGTCGGAATGAGAAACACTGGAGTTTTCTTTCGTTCCCTCTTAAATTTCGAATTGCCCGGTCTCACCCCGCCATAAATTTATTCAAACAAATTCTATAATTACTTTTTCGCCGTGCGCCGTCGCTCCTCGAGATTTATCGCGCCATTTTTATTTCAGACTGACAGAAAAAATTTCTCATTCCGAATATTTTTTAATTTTTTTTAACTATCATTTCGTCGCTAATTTTATAATTAACATGATTTTATCGTGAGGTGTAGTCTCTAGAATTTTTTTTGTTTGACTCGGTGGAATTTTTGTTTTTATTTATCGATTCAGGATTGGTTTTCCGGCTTTCTGGTTGGAAAGAAAATTGAAGACGCGAAAAAAGCTGCCGTTTGACGTAGCATCGAGGTCACTTCAATCGCCTGTGGAGAACTCTCCAGACACGAACCAATTTATCAAGCAATCATTGTCCCGATGATAAGCAACAAATAACCGAGACCATCGGGGATTTCCAGGGAAAGACGATGATTGCGACAAAAAAAGGGAGATTGAAGGAGCTGAAGGTGTTTTGTTGGCAACATCCGATGCATCTGTCATGATCGGACGCTATTCTGAAACGTTTAAGGTGAGAAACCCAGCTGGGGATCCAACTGATGTTGATGAAAAAAAAAAGGAACAATTACTTAAATGGTTTCATGTTGTGTCCAGCAGGTGGAACATGCTCTCCTGTTTGATGGGATAAAAACAGAACATTGATTGGAGCTAGTGCCGTATTCGGTGATTACATGACGCTTTCCCATTTATGAATTCCTCATGTTGTCCATGGAAAATTGATCTGCAATAATTCATTAGGACCTTTTCGGGGGTGAATTCATTTTATTTGAAAGTCTTTCGGAAATATTGGGTAATACCGTTGGAGATTGCTGCTGGGTGAGACAAGTATCACTAATATGGACATGGATAATCTGGAGTCGCGATCATCACCTCGGAGATGCTGTCCGCGATAGCCCGGATTCCACTTTTTTTCCGTGGGAAAAAACCAGATTTTCATTTAAAAATTCGCAGAATTACAAGCGGAAAAAAAATTCAATAAAAATTACATCACCAAAAAAAAAATCGCTATACATTTGTCGAAAAAATGAAACAAAATGGAAAAATTGAATTATTCTATAAAATCGATTGGCGGTCAGAAAAATTCAGAGAAATATTTCTCCAAATTTGGAATTTTCTATAATGATTTTTAAAATTAAATGCATAAAAAAAATTCTTTCAAGAATTATCTGGAGCCCGTAAAAACCAGTGAAAATCCAGAGAGTGACGTGCGGCAACATGCGACACTCTCGCCGGCAGGAGCCGTAATGACAGCCTCAGAGGTCGACCGTCGGGGCGCCACCGGCTCTCGTCTGGAGCCAGGGCGTGTCGCTCGGACGGAGAGCGCCAGTGATTGGTGGAATCGGGGCATCCCGATTGGCCAGGCATCAGGTAGACGTGACCTTTCCCATCTGGGCGATGCTGCGCAGTGACTCTGCGTTAGTCCCGCCCACTCCCAGAGCGATGACGACCCCGTGGGACCCCGTGCATGCCGCTCTCACAACCCGTGACACATTCGACAAGCGGCGCCGTAACGGGAAGGAACGCGCGGCTGGGGACATTGAAACTGAGAGGAAGGTCCACAGGAAAAATCACTCCCTCACGGCGAAAAAAAAAATATATTGTTGCTCGTCCAGTGGTGACCGAGTGCTGACGACCGTAATGACCTTCAAGTGAATATTTCTAATAATAATCGTGAAAACCGTGGGCCGCGAACAATTGATCCCTGTGTACCCGTCGGTGACGTACCTCTCAAAACATAAACAAACCTAGTGATAAATTCAGTGTGAAAAGGTAGAAATAAAGTTGTTGAAGTTTGAGGTGTGTGTCGTGACCCGGCGAAAGTGAATCGGTGTGATAAGAACGGTTTCGAGGGTAACGTCGGGCTCGAGGGCTGGTTATCCAGTCATTCAGACAAACGGATGGTGATAAGTTATCGTTGAGGAGGATTGTTTGGACATTGGGGCAACGGGTAAGCCTTTATTTGGCTCAACGGCCTCACCACGCGCTCCGACGAGTGGAGCGGTCTCCTGCCCAGCTCCACTATCGTGGGTGCTGGGGGGTCACCATGGTTGGGATTGGGTGCTGGTGGTGGCGCCGGAGCAACAACTGGCGGTGGAAGTCCTGTCGAGCTCGAAGGACACTGGGGAAGAAAATTGTACGGTGCAAGTGTTGCACCACCACCACCACCACCTCATCATCATCCCCGTGCACCACTTGTTTTTGCACCCCAGGACATGAGGCAAATACTCAAGGAGGAACCTGTACCACGTGCTTGGCCACAACCTGCTCTTGCTGACACGGCGTCGTAAGTTCTTTTTTTTTTTTATTAAAAATCAATCCGATGGGTCAGTCCAAGAATCCAAAAATAACTTCGCGGGGAAAATTAAACACATCGGGATTAAAAAATTAAATTTCATTAAAAATTCTGTTTTTCGTCATTGAAATCGATAGAGATTTTCCTTCATGGAGTTCTCTCCAAACGTTAGGTTTCATCTCTAGGAAAATACTACAGATATTTTTTACGCTCCCATTTTGAGAAATAATTTAAAATTTCGTCTCGCCCGCCTTAATGCGATGAATAATATTATTAATATAGCAATCGCCTCCGCACGAATTTCTCTCATCTCTTCGAAAAAAAAAATCCAAAAGAATGTTGTACTCCGGAAAATATTTTTCCCCCACATGTCGTGCACCTGAAGCCGTCGGGCCGCGTTTCGGTCATACTACTGGCCGCTACTTGCAAAATAATTCAGCCAATAAATAAAATGCCGTCATCCACGGGGCATTTAATCAATTCCATCATAACGAAAAATAATTGTCGTCGGTGCAGGTTGGAGTAAAAAAAATAGACGATGAGATTGAATTTTCATGAAGCATAAATACGTAGTTACGGAGTTATAAAGAGCCATGAAAAGGAGATAGTAAAGATAGAGAGTGCAGAAGTGGAAGAGGGAACAAGCGCCGGTCCCCGCGGCGAGAGATATTGTTATAGATTTTTATGCGACGCTTTTAAACGCCCTCGTCGTTCATTGTCAAGTATAAAATGAAAATAAATGTTGCGGTTTTCTATCTTCTCGCGGGGGTATTTTTTTTTCGGGGTGAGTTTTTCCGGGGTATTTGTAGTGTCCGTGACGGGTGTACATGGGTATATAACAAACAGGAATTGCACAGTGCGGGTGAACAATAAACCGCGGTTTATTGCACCGCCTCGCTTAACGGATTTGTACGACGTGCAAACGACGCCAGGCGTGCAAATACCACGGGAAAACCCGAAGGTAAACCGAGTGAGTCAGAGGTGGCACCGGGTATTTTCTCTAATCCAATAGCCATCCCTTTAACGAACATCGGGGGATTGAAAGACACAGAGAGAAATATTCAATGAAAATTAGACATCTCTTTCTTCAGCGAAATCCCATTGCAGAAAAGTTCTCGCAATTTCTTTTCCCTTTTCACCCGATTTTTACCGAATATTTCTCTCTTCTATTTATTATTTTTATTGTTTTATTTAATAAGATAAATAATGGAAATGAGGAAAAATTTTTCTGTGCATTTTATTCTGAAGAAAAATAAAATAAATCAATCAATAATTCTTGTGAATTGGGAATTGTAGAGGAAAAAGAATGATAAATGAAAATAGCAGAGAACGGGGTATACGGAAGCAGAATAAATTCTCAATTTCATATTCAGGGATTATATTCAGATACATTACACATTGCTCATTATCTTCGAATGCATTATAAATCGCGTTGGGTACGGAGGGCCGGGGAGATTTGCGGGACGTAAATAGCGGTAGGTTTTCCGGTTAACGCGTAATAACTATAACGTCATGCGAAAAGATGTGTGTGTTGGTATTGTCCATTGGCGTGTGCTCCGCCGATTTATTGTAATTCTCCTCTGGCGATTGCTTTTGCCAGCGAATCGGTGTATTAGCGTCGGTAAATACCAATGGGTCGGGTTAAACACATGTTTTTCCACCTTCAAATGAAAAATCACTTGCAAATAAATATTGACCCATCCACATGACGAATTATATTTCGATGATTCTGAACAAATATAAAACGCTTTTAATGATGCGCCGTTCAATCCTGCAAATATTCAAATATTCCATGGAAATTGAAACGAGTTCAAAGGTGGATTTATTTTTCTTTATTGACTGATAAATTTATCATGGAGAAGCGGATGAAACGGAATTTAATATTTGTATTTTTTTTATAAAAATTTTGGTAGAAATTGAGTGAAAATTAAATAAATACGCAGGTGATTAAAAAATTCGGTAAGAGAGGATTTGAAAAATCCGCAGGATTTTTAGCTAATGCACTCGTATGCGATCCCCCGAAAAATCCTCGCTGGCCTCATTTTCCCACCCATCAATCTATTAATTCCCCAAAATCATTATAGCCCGGGTTCCACCGTAAAAGCACCCGTAACTCGCGTTATCGCGGCTAGAAAATTGCATGCATGGGGGATTTTTGTTATCTCACTGCCAAAAATCGGTGTGATGCTTTTTTTTTCTCCACTCATAGTTGTGCACTTCGTTTATATCGCTGTAAAACCATGAAATCGATAAGCCCCGCGAATGGACCCACAAGGGCAGATACATTCTCAAATTTCACCTGCATGTGGAATATCGTTATCGCATCCCGGCACTCAAAACCGTTGCGCGGTGCAAATTACACGATAAACGTGAATCGGGCATGTAATTATCACCTCGACAGAGTTCATACGGTGTATCGTCTCACTCTAATCGTAATGTCTCACTTTCATACGGCTGTTGCACAGTACGAGAAACCGACGAGACTCTCGTATATCCGAAAATTCCTACCCCGACAACAATTCGCGTTTGGTTTTAGGGTGTGCGAATAGGATGTCGCTTATAATCCTTTTGCACCACACGTTAAGCCCGTGGAAATACGATGGGTACGAACAACAGGAGGAAAAGCCAAAATGACGGGAAAAATAGCCGCTTAATTGCGGAATATTGGCGAGAATGTTCTCTCCCAGTTTCGCGTGATTATAATTATTCCCGTCTGCTAAATTGCCTCTGTCCGACATTTCTAGTTCTCTATAGTCCATTGCAAACCCTCCGGGCTCGTTGGAATATCATACTTGTATTTCTGGCCTTGTAACCGCACCTAGTGTCCCCATTCCACTCGTTTCCAAAACGCTAACGGACCCTGCCGAAAAAAAAAAAATTTTTTTACGAAGGAAAAGTGATATGACTCCCTGAAATTCATGTGGACGGTTTCTCCAGATCATTCTACCGTAAATTAAAGAGGTTAAAAACAACTGTGATACACAGACGCCACCCCCAGATGGCGCGGTATCAAATCAAAAAATTTATATCACTCTCGCAATTGACAGTGAGATGAATTGTTCACATGTCGCACTGACTAAATACTCCTCAAAGTACTTGCATAACGAACACAGCATCACCCCAATCTAATTACCCAAAATCATAATGCCCACTCATTACAAATTACTCCAAATATTTCACCCAAAAACGATCCATTGATCAATGGCCTCCCACATGCTGGAATTGAACGGGACACGGGGTGGAAAATAATCGGACGTCGAGAGTTATGGGGCGCGAACCGGCGGCCGGTTAATCAGCCACCGATAATTATCGACACGGGCAGTACATCACCCCCGTCCTCTGCCAACTGTGCTTGGCCCCTCAGTTTGTGAACCTCACAAACCCCCTTTCTACTCACCCACCCCCCCAGTCCCCCTCCTGCTGCCATGGCCCTCCGCCGCCGTTGTCCGCACACGTTCGAGCCCCGGGTATAAACTCACCCCCTTCTAGCTACATGGTCCAGGCTATCCCACCATTCTGGCGTGACAAACGCACCGCCGATACCATCATTTATTTCGCAAATGTGCTGCAAAACTGCCGCTATTCATTTTCGAGGCAGTCGATTCAGTTTTCCGCTCGGGAGGTCCGGATAGGTCGCGAAATCCAACCCCCAACTCCTCCTGGTGCTGCCGTTGTTATACACTGGCTGCTGTGGCTTTGGTTTATCGTCGCCACATACCTACCCCCTTATACCACCCCCTTTTCACCCCATTCTATCTGCTATAATGTAATTCCTATGCTCTAGCTTCATGGAATGAGCTCAAATTGAATGCAATACGGAAAATACAGTATTGCGTTTCAAATTTTTGATCGAATTGCTAATTTTATTCGTGACGAGATGAGTTGAATTCGAAATTGCGTCATCCGGTTATGGGTTCGATTTTCGGAGTGGAATAATTTCATTTAGCCGATTTCTCTTCTTCAATTCTTTTTGTCTTATTTTAATTAATGCATCTCTTTGAATAATCGGGAATTTTTTACAATTTCATTCTTTCATTCCGGAAGTTTCGAAAGTCCAGGGACAAATGTGGGAGTCGGTGGGAAAGAGTGTCGGCGAGATTTTAAATATTCAAGCGGTCTTAAGTTTAATTGCGAAAAAAGGCGCGACGAAAATAGCGACGGATCTGCTCTCCTCCGGAGGAACGAGACCGAAGAGGAAAAAAGGGTCGTTGTTCTTTATCGCCTCGTAACCAGACACTTTTGGTTAACTCGGAAAATTGAAACCAAATTGCGAGAGATTTTGCACTGTGACGTCATTCAATTTTTATATTCGCTCACGGTACAGCGAGGGCCATTGTCTCAGATTTTCGCTCGAGTCGTAAACATTGGGCATATATATTTTTCTCGGGGCTTTTCTCCGAAGGCGAATGAATAAGTGAAGCAAAAATAAGTTCCAGAGAAAGGGAGTGAATAAACGTGAGACGTGGAAACCACTGACCAAAATACTCCCGCGAGACATCACTCCAGTCTCGACTATTTTGACAGCTTGAAAAATTGTCGCCAAATTGTTTTCCGGTTATGATGCCCGGAAACTTGCTTTTCCGTTCGCTTATCAACTCTTTGTATTTTTCCCGTTGTCTCCTCGACGTCTTGTACATCCCACCCCCTCCGAACGGACGAAGTATTTCTTGAAAGTTGAACGACATTTTCCCATGGGATCACACGAATCCACAGAAGTTGAAAACTGGATTCCTTTGGATCTCCCCAATTTTTTTGAACAGTAACTTGAGCGCAAATGAGGCGCCAACTGGCGATGGCGTCCTCATACTAGAGTTTACACTATCCTTTTCATAACCTTGATCATCAATCGATTGAAGATGAATATTAATTTTTAATTTTACGTGTCGGTATGTCCCTCCATTATCCCCTCGGCTGTTCCCTTCCCAAAATCACAAAGAACTCGATTTTTTTTTTCATCTCCAGTGGAGGGTTTCGAGGAGGGACACCCCGCCATTACTCAAAGATAGCAGTGGAGTCCAGTGTCCCTAATCTCAGCACATGAGGCCTTAATGGGATTTTAAGGCGTCGAGGCCACCTGAGCGCCGTCCCGACGCCTCGACCTCGTTTGTCTTTCCAACGTTCTTGCCTTTCCTTCTAGCAGACCACTCACTTATCCTACGCTTGCATTTTTTTTTTCTCAACATCACGTTATAATATGTTACAGGGTTGGTGTCGGTAGGGCGCACTTCGAGAAGCAACCACCTAGCAATTTGAGAAAAAGTAATTTCTTCCACTTTGTCATTGCCCTGTACGACAGAGGTGGCCAACCAATCGAGATCGAGAGGACAGCCTTCATCGGATTCGTCGAAAAAGACCAGGTGATGTACCTCTTATCTACTATCGATGACTAACAACTGAACTATATTTTATCGGTATAATTACCGTTTCCATCTGACCACCCGCGTCAAATATTAAACTCTTCCGATCCCTGTGTAAAATAGGATAATATCGTACAATCGAAGGAGTGAGGAGACTCAGTCACGCGATCCTCTTGTCAAAATGTGGTGATGGTATCCCCTACACTCCACACTCTAATCCAAAGTTAATCGATCAAAGATTGCGCTTCATTCATTTTCGTCATAATTTCAACGCGACGGTGTCAAGTCTCATTCTAAAAATTGCCCAGCGATACGAATTGTCTGGATCAAGAGAGCTCGGTCTAATCAGTCTAATACAACCGATTATAACAAATTACTGGAGCGTTAACGAGAAAAGATGGAGGATACGGCATTGTCGATTAATTATTACTGTTTAACTGAGTCCAACCTACTTAACTAATTACACGCGGCGCTCCACGTGCAAGTGTTTACATCGCGGTTTTGGATACTTGGTTTGTGAATTGGCCCTGGGGGTGGCCTTGTAAGCCAGGATGAGCGAGGGATAGGTATGAAACACATAACCATCCCCCAGTGCCAACCTACGTTATATACGCGAAGGTGTATAATTCACGTGGGCCGGACAGTTGCATCGCGTGGCCTCCCTATTAATTAGGGTCATGCACCGCGGACATACATCAACCCCCAGCTAGCACAGACACCACTGCAACCCCTTAACACCCTTCCCTGAACATTGCCAACTATTGTCTTTCATACTTAGAACGCATAAAAATTTTTTTACCTAACCTCACAATTTTATTTGCATCACTCGTCCTTTCCATTCGAATCTCAAATCAATCCTATTAATCATTCATCCATAATTCGTCTGTAATTCCTGATTTCTGGTTAATGAAGGAAATAAAAACGGGCGAATAAATAAAAACTTAGCGATGCGCCACCGAAATAATGATGATTGTTGACAGCATAACCCTCCCCCACCCCACGGAATGGGCGCGGGTATTTCAAAATGCATTACTGCGATCCATCGGCATATGGCACACAATGCACGCACGGCTCGTCAACGGGGAACCCCCCCCTTACCAGATAATTATGCATTGCACGCCACGATACAATAATGACGCTGCTCTTACCGCGCACATCAAGAAATTAATAATTAGGGACTAGATGGCGCGTGCTCTTGTCATTACGTCACATCACATTTAATTAAGATGAAACCCAGCATATCCTTAATGACCGGTGAATTAATTATCACTCACTTATCCTGGAATCATCTTTCAGGAATCGGAGGGACAGAAAACTAACAATGGAATCCAGTACAGACTGCAATTGCTCTATGCCAATGGTGAGTACTGAATTTTATTCTCTTACATTTCTTTTTGTCATTGCAAATTCTCAATGTTTGGGAGGGGGGGTGAGGGAGGGGTGGGGGAATTGGGCGGCAAAAGTGAGGATGAAGTGCCATCAACATTCCGCGCGGACACCCGATCCGTCCGTCCGGATGCCGTCTAAAAACGTTTAAAATGACTCGCGTGGCGGTGCCGATCACTCCCCAAACAGAGACATATTTTACATCGATGGATGTTTGCCGCTTAACAAAAAACCATTTGATCCTCTGGAGTCAAGTGAAAAATGGCTGGGATTGATTTCATTACGGGGACACGAGGTATTTGCCGGTGTATGAGAACGCGGTGTGAGGACATACTCGGCGCAATCCGGATGTCGTCTCTTGCGCATAATTCGAAATTAATTGGCATTACTCACCGTGAAATAGAGAGAGGTGAAGATCGATGAAGATTTCGATGGGGATTCAGTAGTATAGTATCGGCATTGTACGGACATTTTAAGAAGCTTTGAGTCTCCGGATGGTAGTCGGTGCCAGCAATTTTTCACTCCATATACGCTGTGAGCCGGTGCCAACCTCCATGATCCCCTCGATCCTTTCCTTCAGCCTTCACTGCTTTTCTCTTCTCTTATTTCAGCCTTTTTTACTCAACCTTTCTTTCTCATCCTCTATTTCTACGTCTCTCCGCATTCTCACTCCACAATACCTCAGTCACTCCACGATGGTGGTGCCCTAGCCCCTCAGCTTTCTTCGTCTCAACAATTTTCTTGTCCCGTTTGTTCTCTCTATCTCGTCTCTCTCTTCTCCTCACCGAGGCCGATCAATCAATGCGAGATTTTTATGGGTGGGGATACCTCACTGAAAGATGCCATCTATGGTCTACGACGCGCTTCTAACATTTCATCAGCAAGAAATTTACTAATGAATAGCACTGACTACAAATAACACCGGACAGATGTCCCCTGACGATCACCAATTTTTCGTAAACAATTGTTTTTTTTTTTTTATCAACAAACTCCTGAAATTGTTGATGTAATTCGATGATGCGATAAAAGATTCAACGAATTCAGGAAAAAAACAATTCAATCGGTCTTCCATAACAAGTCCAAGTTGCTTATTCCCTTTTGGAGTTTATCGGCATCAACTTGGGGCTTTCAATCGCAAGTGTGTGTGCTGATTTATACGATTCGCTGTGATGCATTCGTGTTTTCGGTGCCTTTATGAAAGTTTCATGCAGGAAATATTTTGCACTGCCTCCAAGGAGAGACAAATTGAGGCCGGAGTCAGGAAATCATGGTCTCTCTCAAATTCCCCATTCTTTTTGTTTCATTCATTAAAAATATGGGTATCATCATTGATCACTCCAATTATTCGTGTCATTTTATTCCTTTTTATCTCAATGGATTTTTTTTTTTAATTGCCTTGCTCTTTTTGATATAATTAACCCATTGGTGTGATGATTCAAGTCGGAGTAAATCCAAATAGGGACGATTGACGATTACCGATATATCGAAGAAGATGGTATAACCGGTCAGTGTCGTCTGGTGGGTAACTTGCAGTAAGCCACGGCGGTTTCTCGAGGTAATTTGTGAGCGAGTTTCAGTCTGGCCATCGTAATCCACGGTAACGTTATGTAGTGTAGTCACCGGTGTATACGTATCTACGCGCTCGACCAACAGTTCTCTATACCAGGGACAAGCCCAAGGTGTCTTATATCGGGATTACCTGGCTTAGAGGTACGGACCGAAAGCCACGAGGTATCTGTACCCCACCGAAAATACTGCACACGTATGGGATTACCCCACTTTGAATCCACCCAATGGCCAAGTGTAATCTACGGTTGTTTTCAAGAAACCCGTGGTCACATCTTCCTCAAAAGCTTAGACCTGAAAAAAAAAAAAAACTCCAACTTATAGGTGGAACGATCTGCTCTTATTGATAAACATTAAATTCACAGGGCAGCAATCGTGGTCAATCGCTCGCTGGAAATTTTTCCAAAAAAATAGCCAGTGGAATTTCACGGTAACTCGTTAACTCAAAGTGCTTTCTTAATATCCCACTTTTTGTTGGTGATGTTCTCTCCTCATTAACCACAAAATATTCCTCCTGTCCCGCGGGAAGTGACAGCCGATGGGATTTTAAAGCGATCGGCAATTGAAATACGGATGAAAAGTACGAGCATAAAGACAGGAGTTGGTGGAGGTGGCGGAGTTAGTTATACCTAAGATAAAAAGATTGGTTGGCAAGGCGGCAAAAATAGGTATCCTCTCGAGACGGGCCTCTTATGGGGATTGGATGGGCACTTCATCTTTTCTTATCGTCGAGTTGTCGCTCCACCGTGCGACACCCATTAATACTTTCATTGGGGATAATTAATTGGGGCTGCTATGTAATTATTGTTCGTTACTGATTAATTGCTGGATTTTTTCATTTATTTATTTTTTTCCAGGTCACCGTCAGGAGCAGGATATTTACGTCAGACTCATTGATTCGTCTACGAAACAGGTGAGATCATTTTGACTCGTCTAATTATTTTTTGTTATCGATCATTCGATTATTCGATTGTTCATCTCGTCTCGAAGAATATTGCATTCTCCTGGTTCATCGCCTTATTGCGTGCGCAAACGTTATCACCAGCAGTACAAGCACTTAATTTTCCGGAGGGTTGATTCCAACCCCTCGATCAGACCAGGAGGCGGCAATGCGCGCGACGACGCGGTCTCTCCACTCAAGCCATCCTGTTTTATCTCCGCCACGTGGCCGATTTCGTCCTCTCTTTAATCGTTTTTACTCCCCCTCGTCCTTTCATCCTCGTGGTGTACCCACGAGAACCACGTGTTACCCCTCTCAAATGGAGATGAAGACCGATGATAGAGAAAGAAGGGATCATAACCTTGGCAAACGTAAATATTACCATCGAGATATCGAAATGGCTTCCTATTGTCCGTCTCGAGGGTGATTCCACCAACAATAAACGTACCAATCACCCCCATCACACCTAGCACAAATGCCCAATGTGCAATTTCTCTTTAGCATTGACGTCATGGAGTCCCTCACTTTCTTAAATTATTTTCTATCGAGTCGACGGCGACGTTTTAGCAGATTAAATCATTCTTGCTGGAGTCCGTGGCATTCTGGAGAGCTAGACGGGGAGGAGAAACGGATGTTAGTTTTAGCTGATTAAATTACTAAGCCGATGGTACATTGCGCAGTCAGACGATTCTCAATACGATTTCAAACTTCTCATCAAGTCGATGTGCACGGAAACGAGTGGATTGCAATATAGTCCAGCGATTTATTCCGAAAATCGATAATCATGTGGATATAAATAAATTATCGGTGCGTCAAATTTACGGTGTGAATGAATTATCGTATAATTTCCTTTCACCACGGGAAAATAATCGCGAAAAGGTTGGGTGATAAATTCACGATAATTGGGCGTTAGGATCGCCTCGGAATTCCAACTTCTCTGGCTTCGTAATTCACCAGATGAAATCGCAACTTTCTGTTTACAAAAAGTCTTGGGTACATCGACTCTCGCTATCGGAAAATCATACCTCATATTCACCCCCTTCCCCCCGTAAGTCTGAAATATGGGTGTTTAAACGTGGATTAAGGAAATAATAAGCCGAAGAGATAAGCTAATCCCCGACAGATAAGGAGAAATAAAAGAGCCTGTCGAGAGGGGAGTCCTCTCGAGGGGGAGCTACTGTTATGTTTTGTTCAGCGGCATGTATTAAACCCGAACTCCCCCTCGTGCCACCCCCTGCCCCTCCCCCATCTCTACTGAACTCAAAAACATTCCCAGGGGACTTTGAAAATCGATTCGCGATGGAAATCATTACTGGTGCCATTTGGATGACAATCTTGGGTATCGATCTCCATTTACTCCCACACTTTTTAAGACACCAACAATTTGAATTATTTATTTATGCGATGCGAGTTAAAAAAAAAAATGATGATCCCAGGCTGAATTTCTCTCGCGCCATTTAATTGATAAATTCACGAGAGTCATTCCATATCATCGAAGAATTTTTTGCAAACGCGATTTATTTCTCAAATTTATTCTTGCTCATTGAAAAAAATAGGGAATGAGAAAAAATCGTAATAATGACTCGGGAGTCGATGAAAACCGGTTGTAAATAAATTCCTAGCGATCACCTGATGGTCATAAGTCGACTGGCACTCGCCTCTCTCCTAAACTTTAATAACGAGTAATATATATCTGGGGGATTTTTTTGCAGTTTTAAAGTACGACGTACGCGTACCGGTAATCGCGTACGTCGTGCTCTAATGAGACTCGGCCAGCCGGTTCGAGTCAGTTCGTTATTAGTCCGCGGTAAGTAATTCCCGTGGGAATTGGGTGGCAGTGGGGACTCAAGTGTACCTTCTGGGACTTGAGATATGTAAGAAGGCAAGTAGAATCGTAGGAGGGCCCCCGTGGGGCCGTTGCTGACTGGTCGCACCCTCAGGACGGCGTCTCGACGTCGTCTTCACCGTCGTCGCCTGACCTCGTCGCAACACTTTACCCACCCCTCGGGTTGGGCTTTTGGCGAGCCCCTGGTGGCACTCCTCGGAGACTCACAAGCCGACATAACCCAAGATATCCATCGGGGGGAGAGTACATCACCCGGGGATTGCTGTGTACGAGGAAGAGCCCTCGTTGAGGGTCTCGTCATAGAGAAATAAATCGACACACAAAATAGTATTCGGACCTGGTGGTACATGCCCAACGAAAATCGTTTGAGGCTACTCAGCATTTGGTAATAATTTTCGAGGTTAATCCGACACGCCATCTATTTGAGGCCCTTGACATCTCCAGGTGATTCGTTTTTTTATCTGTTATTGGGATTTAACAGCGCCATTATCAGTTGTTCGGTACAGAGATCCCAATTCAGAAGTTCCATCGTCAAGTCATTCGACGAGAATTTAAATCGTCGAGGGAGCCTCTTTTATTCGCATCATAAACATTTTCCCTTCATTACGGACATTCCCACGAAGATGTTTTACGACAACATTTTTCCTCCCCTCCACCACGACAAGAGCTTCATTATGGCTCTTAATGGGATGTAAAAAGGAAAAATAAGGAAAGCCGAATGCTTCCGGGAAAACGCGTAAGAGCAGAAGTAATTACCTGAAATTGTTCGTGAGGGGATGGTGGATAAACAAAACGGACGGCCTGTCGTCGTAATAGACGCTTGGACAAACAGAATCGCATGTTTATGGGGATAAAGTGCGATATGTAGAACGTCAGGTTCACAGGCCTCGTGGCCTTCCATCCACATATTTGACTAGTGATTACATTCAACTTTTTTCACTATTCCATCCCCGCAATTTTCGCGCATTATATACCACCGATTGCCACAAACTGCACGGTAAATAACGGTAAAAATTTTTTTATAAAGTGAACATACAACTGAAGGGCGCGCGAAAAGAAAATCCATTCGGGGAAATATATTTCGTTGTCTATACTTTCTAGGTTGACGTATTTTTCACTCTGTCAAATAATCGGAGAGAGTCGGAGAGAATAATTCACCGTTTATGTTAATTAGTTCGAGTATAAATGAGGCTCGCCTGACATTTTATCATAAACCCACGAGAAATTGCGGAATCACACGAAAGCAACCAATACAACAGTAACATCCCAGCCACATGAATCCTCATCTTCCTCAATTTCGTAACGCGTACCGCTTTTCAGAGGGTTGATTTTACCCGCTTTTACCGCCCTTCGTGTTACCTCTGATTTACTTATCGCCGGGGAGAGGTGAACCTCGTTCGTTTACTCGTCAATTCAGTTATTTCGTTTTCCATAAATATTTCATGTACCTGGATTTTGTGCTTTAATATAAATCCAATTTTTTCTATGGCTTCAGAGAGCTCAAACGAATATAAATGCAAGTACTCTCAGAGATAATTCAGGGAAATTGTTTTGAAACATCTCGATTACACTTTTACGATCTCATGTTTGCCCAGTGAAAATCGAAAAACAGAAGACCCCAACGAGATCAAAGAAACCGGTAATCTTTTCCCGATGGTTTTGTTATACCCCGGATAATTCAATGGCTTCCCTCCTCAATCCTGTATAAATACATGAGTACAGCTCCTGGACAATGTGTTGTCATTAAATAAAAATCAATCAGGAGGCTGTGAAGGAGGCTTAACGGATTTGCCTGCAACGCCCAGGGCTTAGCCCATGCCGTTGGGGTTGTTTCCCTCTGTCTACGCACTCTCGTGACTGTCCAAGCATGCAATGGGATGCAATCCAAATTACTTCTTCTCCACAAATTGTTCTCAACAATGATTAATTATTCCTCTTTATTTTTTTCTTCCAGGCGATAATGTACGAGGGACAGGACAAAAATCCAGAGATGTGCCGAGTACTTCTGACCCACGAAGTCATGTGCAGGTGAGTCAATCGTAATCTTTACCGATTTGTTGTTCAAATTTTTCGGCAAAATTTCCGTCATGTGGTTTTATGGATTCATTCTCGAGTCGACCCCCAGCGGGTAGTAAACCATAAACATAACGAGTCTTGTATGCATCAACGTATGGGTACACACCGTAGCTGACTCACATCGGCCCCTGGGACTTGCTTAGCCCCTAGTTGCAGAATCCCTTGGGCAATTCCACAGGGGCTAGGTGGTTTTCAGTCTCTGCATCAAAAACTTTTGACGTACTTTGACTGCCATAACCCCAAACTGGGCCGATCCTCTCTCTCTCTTTCTCTCTTTTGCACTCCCCCCTTTGAAAAAAGTCAGTTGAATATCATCTCTTGTTTTCAGTCGATGCTGCGACAAGAAGAGCTGTGGAAACAGAAACGAGACACCCAGTGATCCCGTGATCATCGACCGGTGAGTAAATTAAAATGAAGTATCATGATATCAAGGTAACCTAGATGCTGCAAAAGCATGGCGCATTCGGTGATATACACCGAGTATGTGAATTACGTTGTCTACGACAAAAGGGGTAGAATAGATGGGACAGGATAGGACAGGGATAGGACAGGATAGGACTGGATAGGATGGGGTAGGTGGATCTGGATTCTTGAAAGGGCGGAAGAGTATCCGGTACTCGTGTTCATCCCTCGTCCCGTCTTGGGAAACAGAGGCTAACACAGCTCTAGTATAGGGTGAGCCTGATATCTGAATAGGCTATATAGAATATACTGAGATAGGAGAAAATGGTAGCAACCAAGAGGTGGAGGGTATTCCCTGAGGGAGTCAAGACCGAGATAGTCTTCAGGAGGACATCTTGTACACAGTGATCCTCAACCCAATACCGTACACATGTATACGATCAGCTATCCAATTTTACCCGGGAAAGGAGTATTTCATTCCTTCAATGCTGCCTTGATATTTTTCTAATGGTAATTCTATATCAACGGTGGGGGAAAAAATTAATCAGCCAAATGATGAACACGCACCCCTCGTATACGTTACTGTGATGCAACTGCAACATTGGTCGCGTGTCCAACAACTTTCCTTTTAGTAATTTCATGTTGATGGTAATAGTGAGTAGTGTACGCCTCCTGATTATTCCTACATCTCTTCAACTTTTCGGATTGACTGTTTTCGTCTATTGTGTGGATGGCTAATCAATTTTTTGGTTGTAAACCGCACAATGGGACGGCAGTCGAGGGCGAATTGGTGGAGATGACTGGTGTATCAATGGATTTTGATTGAGGTGACTCTTGTCGATTGTGACGTGCTCACTCGACTGAAAGTACTTTGGATATTCACCTGAGGTTATAATCAAAGCAAAGAACAATACACCGTCCACCCCTTCGGGCCATTTTTTTTTTTCCCCAATTCAAAAAATATTTTTCATTGTTTCCGTTGGAATCTTTCTCGACACCAGTTGTCGTATCAGAATCATCTGTGGAGGATGTGAATTTTTTTATTTCATGTCCTTGACGATGGATTTTTCCGGCCGATTGACTCGGCAAAACAATTAGCATGTATAATTATAAAATGTCATTTTACCGTACTGGAGCGGTCGCAGATATACCCAGTCCTCGCTGGCCCGTGACGTCCCAAGGGATTACCAGTGCTCCATAATTACGAAAATTCTGTCTCTATTTCGTTTCACTACCTCACACTCCATCGAGTGCCCTCTCCTATACACAGCCGAGTGCTCGTGATTCGGAAAAACAGAAAGCATTCGGTGCAAAAAAAAAAAGGAAGAAAAAAAAAATCGGTGACGAGCTCTCTGGAATGACGGCCAATATAACCGTAGCATCGAGTACGATTCCACCACCGTGATTGGTTAACTTTGTTTCGTCCAGTGCACGGGCAACCCCTTAATTTCGGCATCGATCATAGGTCCTCTACTACCCATGTTACCCTCTTTCCACTGCCAAACGGGGGAACATTGTCACGAACTGTAACCATTCGCCTCGTTGGCTTTCTACCCGCAAAACTACTTTTACCTTTCATGTACCAATTTTCCACAAATTTCATTCAACTTTAATTGTCCGAATCTATATTTTACCACTGTCTGGAAAAAAAATTTGATATTCATTTTTTGATTATCAACATTTGACCCATCCTGTCATTTTTTTCATCCTTCATTTTTCATCTTGGTGATGAAAAAATTGGAGTCGATATACCACCAATCAAATTTTCACCTAATGCCCAACGAGAACCGCGAGCTAACGACAACCGATAATCAAATGGAATAAAACTAATTCACGCTTGGTATATTGCAAACCCCGAGAACAATGTAACATCCATTTTCATGGATTGCAACAAGAGGGCCGCTGCGATATGACTAACGTCACAATGACATGCGGATTGTCAATCAGTCGTCGCTTGTATCCGTTAATGAATGCAAATCTGCACGGACAATTGTTGGCCACCGGTGTCACCAGGAGTCACTCTCCACCATTTCGATATCGATTCGAGCACGTGACCTTGTAAATCTCCCTCCACAATCAAAAGAAAAAAAGGATGATCGAATATATTAATAGTGAAGCCACTTACGATATAGCTTACCTCAATGAACTAACAGAGCGTTGATAAGCGGAATAGACAAATGCCTCAGTCACGCTAGACTAATCAAACTAAAGAGTCACCTCGCGCGACACGCGTCTGCCTCATCACAGTTTCAATATTTCACATTGTGAAAAAAAAAGAGCCCTTTGAAAATCGTCCTCGATCTAGATATGGAGTGATAATAATGGGTCTCGCAATGCCCAATCCTCGAATGACACAGATCGATCGTAAAAAGAACTCAATTGTACACGGACACCTAGCTTTTTTTTTATTAATTCTCCGAGACACCGCGCATTTCGATTAATCATGATAACGAAATCGTTCTTCGGACAATATTTGAACGGCTTGTTGTTTCTACTCTGTTGAATGCCCTGATGAACCTGATGATTGATATTGTTGATTTATTGGTCATCTATTTTCGAATTATTGAACCTGTGAACACGCACTGGAATCATCACTCGTCAGCACTTTCTCGCTTCACAAGTCTTTGAAATCTCAAAATTACTTCTGTTTTTATTTCTATCATGAGCTATTTCCTGTCGTGTCTATTAGTGGAATCAAAACACACTCGCCCCTTCGCCGGACATGGAAAAAAATTCGTGTACTTGTGCCGGAGCATATGGGGCACCCTCGGCAGGGTGTCACACCCTTCGAATCTCGTGCCCTAATAAATGTACTGGTGCCCCATTCTCCCCCCTCACTCGAGTTATCCCTTCGCTGGTATTTGTATTTACGAGGGGAATTTCCTCTACTGCAGAACAGATCGACCGATCGGTAGACCGGTAAATCGCTGTATAAATAACTCCGAGTTATTTGCGGTACTAATCATGCACCGAGTCCTTGAAGTTCATCAAAATTTGGGTCAATACATACCAGAAATTTGGGGATAAATATGAAACCCCGAGAATGAGTGATACCTTCGATTTACGAGTCGATCGAATCCATCGATTTCTTGCTCGTCTGGATTTTTATTCTTTCCGAATCAATCGCATAATTTAATCGCCTCTTTTTCGTTGAAATTTAGAAATTCTGAGTAGTTCCGGTGATTCGAATCACTCATCCATCGACAATTCTCCCTCTCCCCTCCCCTTCACTCGTAAATTCTCCCAATTAGGTGAAATACGGGAGAAAAAAAAAAACAATGGCCTCGGCCCATCGATATTACATTACCGTGACATTTTTTTCTCCACCCCCTCATCGAGAAAACACACATTTCTCGTAGTACGAAAATATACGTCTGAATGTATATTGGATATTATCGATATCTCGAATCTATCCCTCGCTTGCTAATGGAAAACTTATGCTAACCAAAAGAGCCCCGAAGAACGATCCATTATGTATCAGCGATCGCTCTTAGATTTTCAACCGTACCGTATCATAGATTCTCTTTATACCACTATTGAAATTAAAAGGAAGGAAAAATTCAGGGGTAACTTACCCTAAAAATCCGATAATACAGATAAAATGCAAACGCAGCTACCGTACCTCAGAGGCCAGCAGATTCCCAAGGACACCCCGGAGGACCATAGAGACAAAGAATCTTACCCAGCTAGTGGCACAGGATAAGTGCTCTTTGGGCCATTCTCTCACGGTGATTCCCAGCCGAGAATTACCTCCGATACGCCAATCGTTATTTTCAAAGAATATCTTAACAGCCCGGGCTTTTATCCGTCGACGCTCTAAAAACCCAAAAAGCCGAATAAAAAAAAGCGTCTTTATTCCCATCGAGGTGGGTACAAGAGTCTTTCCCCTTTGGTTCACCAAGTTTCTTTTTTACCTCGGAGCAGGCTGGCCCGAGATGGAGGAAAAACCCGATAGGGAGAGCCGATCAGCTTAATGCATATTGATGCGCACTGGAGTTAAGTGAGTGAAAAATCGCCATCGATCCCTTTTATTCTTCAAACCCAAGAAGATATCCACACACTTTTGCCATTTATCAGTATCACTCATAATACATTTGTGGATAAATTTGGGATTGAAATGAAATCGCGTCACCAATTGACACGTCCATGTTCACGCCAATGATCACCCAAAAAATGATTGAAATCACTTGGTTCCAATCGATTACCTGATGAAATCGTTTGGAAAGCATAGACTCCCCATTGCTCGCACTATCTTCAAAGTGCATAGGATGCGGTGACCCTCTGGTATTTTGGTGAATCGTCAGCGGTAGAGGACAATCGTGGAGTGGCTCGTTCTACCACTGGAGCAGGCGCATTGGAATCGGTATAAACTAGTTGGGGTGTTTCACATTGGAACAGATGCCAAGCGTCACGGCTCGACGATGGCTGGAAGGGTGCCCTCTCCAGATTGAGACACGGTGGATGACTCTAAATGGCGTTCACCTCTCCCAACCAAATCGATCTGCACCCTCTCCCTGAAATTAAATGAGAGTAAAAAATATTATTGTCTTATACTTGGCGAGATAGAATAATAAACTCATCCCGTTGTGTTTATTTTCGTAAGGGTGCGCGTGCAAACACCCATTTGGTATTTTGCTCTGGGCCACTGGCCTTATGTCAATTCACCGATCCTTTCTACATTTTTTTTTTCTTCAACCCCACATATGTGCGTGCACGTTAAGGGATACGCAATACACTTCAGAATGAACGAGTGAAACAGGTGGTTAGCAGGGGCTAGAGGCAGTGTGTCATGATGACGGCAGGGGGCCACTTGAAGAGTCGCGTGGCCAACTCAATTACCTTCTAGAGCCTCAAACTCGTGTCAGTGGAGTACCCCCTCGGTATTGTATAACCAAACGTGTCGTCCAATTGTTCAATCTCATTCATTCTATCAACTGGATTTGTCCAGTGAGTCTATTGAATTCGTTCTATTTCAAACGAGATTAATGGTAAAGT